GGAAGTTTGTCTCTCTGAGCCATGACTCAGAAAATAAATCATTCCCTTTTCCATCCTCTCTGTGCTTTCCACATCACAAAGCCCATGTGGTTCATGAAAACCCTTGAACAGCAATACTATATACATAATGAGGTGGATGAACAATATGTAATAACAAGGATTATTTGGGAGTTAAGTTGTGTAAGGAGCAGGATAGAAACAGCTGCAAATAGGAAATATATTTACTCCATCAACAGCAAAGATGGGTGTCCTCCCCCGACAACCTCCATCATGTGTGCACAAGAAACTACATGTGACAAGAAAATACAATTTTCAAGAATGAAAATGACAAAAATGACAAGAAAATACAATGTGGAAACCCATCGGGAACATGTTTCAGTTTTCACTTTCACTAGAGTAAAGAAGAAGAAACTCCGTAACTATAAGCAATGGACTTAAACCATTAGAAGTCAGAGCAGACTTGAGCCTTTTGCCTGTGAGAAATGCAACATGGAGGATTGGATCCTTATTTCTGGGAGCCACCCTTATGGTGGCCAACCGCACTTCATCGTGCATCAGCAGATGCATGGCAAACAGACCCAAGGAGGGGATGCTTCCCTTCTATGCGGCATTGCTTAGACCACAGGTGGAGTACTGCATGCAGTTTTGGGGGCTGCACTTCAAGAGAGATGTTGATAGACTCGAGAGGGTCCAGAGGAGGCCACTCGTATGGTTAGGGGCTTACAGGACAAGCCCTATGAGGAGAGACCAAGGGACCTGGACCTCTTCAGCCTCTGCAAGAGAAGGCTGAGAGGGGATCTTGTGGCCACCTACAAATTCATTAGGGGGATGCAGGAAGGGATCAGAGATGCTCTGTTCACCAGGGCACCTCTTGGGGTAACAAGGAACAGTGGTCACAAACTGACAGAGAGCAGATTTAGGCTAGATATTAGGAAAAACTTTGTCATGGTAAGGATGGCCAAAATTTGGAATGGGCTTCCCAGAGAGGTGGTGCTCTCCCCTACCTTGGGGGTCTTTAAGAAGCGGCTGGGTAGGCATCTGGCTGGGGTCATCTGACCCCAGCACTCTTTTCTGCCTAGGCAGGGGGTTGGACTTGATGATCTGTTGAGGTCCTGTCCGATCCTGCCAACTACGAATGTATGAATCTAGGAGCTGAGAATTTGGATCTGAAAATACAAAAAAAAAGGAAAATTGCAATACTTGCACATCCAAAGAGATGCACTGGAAATCCACTTAGATCAGTTGAATACAACAGCTCCTTCTTAAGAAATATGTGCTGGGGGGGGAAGAAGAGGGGGGGGTGACCTTTCTGTCTGAAACATGCCAGCTTACAGAAGAGAGAGAAACAGAGCTGAGGAAAGCTAAATTTTATAAAGTTGTGAACGCCCTGGGAATTTGAGCAGTGTTATACAGGAACGCATGTGTGAATATAGTAGATTTATGGGGCTAGTTTGACGTCCTGTATGAGGAACTTTAAGTTTTTCAACACCTTTCCATAAGCAAAAAGAGCCCCTCGTCTGGTGGGAATTCAGTCAATTTCCTTGTGTTTTTTTGGCCGTTTCCTAAGTTGCAAGGTTACTAATGGTAATTACAGACCTGGTTTTTGCCTTGCGAATTCTGGCTGTGCAGAATTGGCTTCTTGGCATGCGTTGAGTCCCCCTGCAGAAGGTTTTTAAATAACTGGCCCTCGGTAGGGATTATTGCAACACTTGATTAGACAAAAGCAACCTTTCCTCATCCCTTTCTTTGTAGAATATAGTAACTGCTTTTCTTTCATGTTTTGCCCTCCCTAAGTGGCCATAAACCACAATTTAGATGTTCATTATAACAGCTCCTAGTAGCTTTGCTGCAGTGAAAGAGCTGTTTTCAAAGTATTTTAATAACATTCATAACAAGCTTGCTCCGGTCTAGAATTTGACACCCAAGTGCTTAGCCTTGGAGTGATGTAAATATTCATATATATAAATGCAATGATAGAAAAGTTAACTATTCTTTAAGCAAAAAGAGGGGAGGGGAAGTGGTTTTTAAGATGGGAAAGCAAAAAACGGTAATTTTTAATAGGGAAGAAGAATATAGAAATAGCAATATCCCCTGTTAGGTTGTCTGTTCAGTGGGGAATTGCTCCTTAGAGAGTAACCTTTAATGGCTTTAGACAGCATCTCTCTTAAATGAGGATGATAAGGGATTCCCGAAGTCCTTTGCAGAGCTGCTCTGCACTGTTTGGGGATTCTTCTTGATGGTCTGTCTGGTTCTTGGGTGTGGTAGCATCCCTTTTATTATATCTCCAGTATATCCTCTCGCTCCTTAAACTTTTCACCCTCCTTTGTGTTCATGCCACTCAGGCCTCAACTCAGCAAAAGCGCATCCTTAACTTTAAGCAGGTGAGAAGTTGAATCCATTCAGAGCAAAATGCTTCAACATGTGCCTAAGTCATTGGGCTTGGTGGAATTTAAGCACCTGCTTAAATGTAAGCCTGGGCCAAAATACTTTTTCTGATTTAAAGCCAGAGATATTTGACCCACATGCAAGTCGGGATCACTGTTGTGAGGAAGACAAATACCCTTTCTCATTCAGCGTGCATAGTCTAAATGTTTTACAGATACAGAAGGGGTGAGGTTTTGAAATCTTGGCTAGGTTGAAATCTGTGGGAATTTTGCCACTTTAACCCTAGGGTCCAGGGGCCTGACACCATATTTAGAGTAAATAATGAATGAGCTCCAGCATGGAAAAAAAAGAAAAGTTGCTTTATTTAAGCCAATTAACAAGAGAACTGGTTCACATCCAGTGTCTTAGCCACTGCCAAGCGAATGGCACATTCTAGGGGCAAAATGCCAGGAAAACCCAGAGAGCAGCTCCTGTAAGGCCTGAACAGGAACGGCGGCAGATGCACCACCCTGCACGGCTCCCTCCCTGGTTCTAGAGTAACCCTTCACTGTCATCTGCTGGCCCCACTTTATCCTGCCCTATCTCTTTGGTTTGGGGACTCTCCTACTGGCCTGGTGATCTAGCCATTCTCTGCTAAGAGCAGATGCCACCTGCAAGTCATCGCATAGTGACTTGGTCGTGTAGATTATCAGACTTCCCATGCAGCATCTTCTATACGACACAGGAGCTGCAAAAACAACAACAAAATGCATCGGTCCAGATCTCTGGGAATACAAGGAACGTAGTAGTCATCCAAGGGACAGAATGCATCATCTCAACCACGAATGTCTAACCGTGTTGCAGATACTATTCCCAGATGGCTGAATTAAAGGTGGAAGCTGGGGTTTGCTTTGTTTTTGGATTTTGTTGCTAACTTCACCCTTCAGAGATCTCATAAGTGATCATCATCTATCATGTTTCCCTTTCATGCCAGAGATGAAGGTTTTCCCTTAAAGCCAGTTGTCTGATTTCTGTGTGATTGTGATGTTTGCCCCTTTTAATTATCGTCAGAGATCTAAAATCTGTCTTCTAATTTTGTGACACACACCAAGGTGAGGGTGAACGATGAGTATATTTTCATTTTAAAACTGTTTGCTGTTAAAGTTGTTATGGAAGCCCCCAAAAGAGAAGGTTTCTCTTGCCATCTCTGCTTTCAAGAAATAGGAGAAAATAACAAGTGTATTGGCCTGCCATGTAAAGATACTGACTGTCCTTGATTCCTGTACGTTTAATGTTAGCAGTGGTCTCGTCCCCCGAGATTACCCAGCCACAATTGTTTAAACCTGTCTTCAGTATTTATCTTTTTTCTTCCCACTGAAAATCAGTTTGGATGCAAAGAAACATATTTCACTGCTGTTACTACAATATGTATTGATTTTTTTCCCCTCTATAACTTATGTTGCATTTAATTAAATTACAATGAACAGCTGATGTACTTCAATAATTAAGACATTTGACAACATGTTTTTTAATAAGTGTTTTCTTTCTCATATCTTTATTGTTTATGTGTGTGCATGCACGCTGGTATGTGTAGACTGCTGCCTGGACCAACTCTCCAAGAGCAAAATCCAAACTACTCAGTTATAAATCAGAGTGATATGTTTTATATGCAGCTTCCCAACTCCGGTAATACTGTTGCATTTAAAACAATAGGTGAAAAGAAGTGCATTGCATTTGAAGATATCTTTGGGTAGCCTTCTAAAACTCACTCTTTCTTCTTCTCTCCGACTCTTTAGCTGCGTTGTTTTGCAGATGTACTTGCTCTCTCCCATTTACTTTGTTAAATGCTACATAAAGGCAGCCCTGAAAATATAGGCCAACCTTTTCAGAAGCATCTAGTAACTTGGGTACCTCAGATTTTTGGTTCCCAAATTGAGACATCATCGTGTGTTCCCACTTCCAGCACTTTATGGAAATAGGGCTTTTTGGAAGTACTCAGCACTTTTGGAAAATAGGTCTCCTATGAGGTGTCTGAAGCTGGTTACAGTAACCACGAGGCACCCAAAATTCCCAGGCACTTTTGCAAATCTCTACATGTGCACTTCAAAGAGATTCAAAAAGTGTGTGTAGCAGCTGTGGGTCTAAGGAAGAGGCATCAGGAATGTTTTGGGACCCACCCACGCAATCGATCCTTTCCTTTAACTGGCGATCGTGAGAAGTGGATTTCCCTCTAGTCCAGGGGTTTTCAACCTTTTTTAAGGAGTGTACCCCTTCTGGTGGGTACCTCTTCTGGAGTGTACTCCCTTCTGGAGGTGGGTGGGGAGGTGCTGACGGCTGGCCAGGGAGTGGTGGGGTAGGGAGGCTGCCAGCGCGAGGATGTGGCACGCGACAGGGACACGGCACGTGGTGGTGACACAGAGTAGTCGACGGTGGCGGCAGCCACCGCATGCAAACTCCCTGCACCACTTCCCTGCACCGCCGGCTTCATGTAACCCCTGGGGCCTTCCCAAGTCCAGACAACCTCTGCTCTACTCCATAAGGGCAACCTTTCTTTTGTATGTGTAAATAGCTGGAACTGAGAAATCAACCTGCTGCTGTCTGGTGGGATGACCTGTGCCTTTTAATTTCATTCTTAGATTATTCCAATCCAGTTGCCACACAGACACTATAATTTTAATGTTGAAGACTCAGACGAGGGGGCCATGGATGTGAAGGAAAGGAAACCGTACCGATCTCTGACCAGGCGCCGCGACACAGAGCGCCGCTACACCAGCTCCTCCGCAGAGAGCGAAGACAACAAAATACCCCAGAAGTCCTACAGCTCCAGTGAGACTCTGAAAGCTTATGATCAAGATTCCAGGTTGACCTACAGTAATCGGGTCAAAGACATGGTGCACCAGGAGGCTGATGAATTTTGCCGAACAGGTAAGCACATTTCAGCAGGTGCTGCTGTAAGCAGTGTGAGTTAATCAGCTCTGTGCTGAGGTCGAAGGCTGGGCGGGGGGAATTGCTCAGAGCTCTAAAGGATTGTGAGACCAAAAAGCCAGAAAATGTCTTCATGACATTGCACAGCATAGGAGAGGAAGCAGCATGCTGTACTTGGAAGTAAAGGCGACACTTATGATGGGCATCTCTAGCTATTGCCTGACTAGGAGTGACATGGAAAAGTGACACTCCACAGACAGCACATATGGCTACTCAGCAAGCAGTGATGCCATTGTAGAGCATGTTGGCATTAATGAGATGACTTGAATTTAGCTTGGGTGGGTAACAATAGGAGTGCAGGTGCCTGGGCTTGGGCTTCCATCATATCGTACAAGCAGAGATTCTAGGTGCTGCCACATCTTCTCAGCTATCACCTGTGCTAGCTAGATTGAAGCCAGCACCTGGATGTGCCTGCCCATGCTACAGACACACCTTTGTGCTCCTGAAATGGGTAACCAGAGGAAGTGGAAGGTGCAGGGGGTCATGCAGGGAGTGGAAAGAGCGACAGAGGTGTGTCTAATGGGCTCTCACGGTGCTTATGGCTCAGGACAGAAGTCACACATAAACTGGTTTAAGTGATCAGGAACTGGTTTGAACCTGTAAAAGTACAGAAGTTCAGTGCACTTAAACTGCTTTCAAAATGGCTGAAACTGGTTTAAGATAAACCTGGATGGGTGTAGTACCAGACTGGTACTAACTGATCTGACTGACTGATTAACTGATTTAGGCTGTAGTATCAGACTTAACTAGGAACTTCTACCCCAGATCCCCTCCTGATTCAACTTCACTCAAAGTCCTCCAGCATCCCAGGATGCTGTGCAGCCCTGGCCTGTGCACTCTGCTCTAGCACAGCATAGCCTGGCCTGCCCCCACCTGTCAGTAGCTGGGCAATTCCCCCAGCTTCATCCCCTCCTTATCCAAGGGAATCAGCTCAGCTCCCAGATGTGTGACGGGGGGAATAAAGCCCCCACTACAGGCTTTCCCCTCCCAGCCCCTCATATGCTGAGCACAGCGTGGCTAGGACTCCAGAGCTGAGCGGGCAGCAAGGAGCGGGGCATTTTCACTTTTTATTGTTTATGTGTGTGCATGCATGCACGCTGGTATGTGTATATAGCCAGCTCAGGAAGGGCATGGGTGGGTGATCATGCTGGCTCCCAGTTCATGTGTGGGGAGTAAAGCCCCCTTGCAGGCTCCACCCTCTGTCCTGGACACGGCCTGGCAGGGGGGCTGGAATAGTGAGGAGGGGGATGGGAGACAGCAGGGACTGCTTTCTCCCCATCTCCCTCCTCAGCCAGCCTGCTGGCCAGGGAGGGGCCGTGGTGGGGTGATCGCCCACAGTGGGGGCTTTGGTCCCCGCCCAAGCTGGGGTCTAGGGTGCACATCCCCTCCCCGGCGGGCAGGCCAGCTGAGGAAGGAGTGGAGGGGAAAAGCGGTCTCCATTGCATGCTTCCCCCCACCTGCACCCGGCACAGTCTGGCTGGGGGTCCAGAGCCGAGTGAGGGTCGTTTTCCACCCCACACACTCCCTCCTCAGCTGGCCCGCTGGATAATGAGGGTGATTGGCTCGACTCCTGGCTCTGGGTGTTGTGGGGAGGAAGAGTTGGAAAAAGGCCCTGCTGGGGGCTTCCCCTCTCCCCCCCATTCCCGCTGTGCTGGGGAGACCCTGGCTGGGGATGCAGTGACAGGCGGGGGGGGGAAGGGGAGGGTTCCCCCCACAGCCCATCCTCAGCCAACCTGGACTGAGAGAGAGGGAGAAACACCCTGCTAGGAACTTCCCCTCTTCCCTGATGCCAGGGAGACCCCGGCTGGGGGTCCGCTGGGAGTGCTTTCCCCTCATGCCCCATCCTCAGCTGGCTGAAGAGAGGGCCTGGCTGGGGGAATCACCCGGCTCCCAGCTCTCTGCAGTAGCCGGCAGGCTGGGAGGCATGCTCTAGCGCTCCTGGTGTGGGCCCCTACAAGGGTCTGGCTCCCTTTTGGGTTTGAAAAGTGAACCTCAGTTTACTTTCTCATTGGTGCAATCTAAGCAGTTCACAGAAACCTGCTCTTTTTTACTGTCTGTACTTAGCCTATGAGAGCAGTGCTAAGAAGTACCTCCATATCCAACTGCTCCTACTATGCATATGCCAAACCCATGTAGGAGGCAGGGAGGCTGCCCTGAGGTTGTACTTCCTGCTGTTTTTAAGGGTGGCTTTCCTGCCGCATTTCTGGGATGGGTGCAGACAGGGTATTTTTCTCCTCCAGGTCTCTCAAAGCAGATCCAGAGGCAGCTGATAGTATAAGCAAGAGAGCTGGGTTCTCAAAAGTGGATATGCACAATTGCACTTATCCAACTCACTTCCGGAGCTTGCACTGTTTCATCTGCAAGTGTGTTTTTTATGCATGCCCAAGGCAATAGCATGTATAAAGCCCACAGAAAGCCTGTAATGGGCAGTAGTTAATGGCACAATAAAGTACCCTTACATGCTTTTAATAATACTTTGCAATTAGATAACACCTTCCCATCTAGCAACTCAAAAGTACATCATAATCTCCAAGGAACGCAAGGAAGGAAAAGAGGCCTTTCAGGTAATTGAATCTGTTCCTCAGCATGTGAGGGATTGCTCCTTAAATGCAGTATGTTCACCCCATGCAGTAGATGTGCATTATTCAAGACGGATAAACTGAATCCAGCAGAAGTGATGAGGCTTGGAGAAGGTCATACAACTGGTCTAGGCATCCCATCACCATGTCTGACTAATTGACTACCCACAGATTTTTCATTCCATAATTTTCATCCATTTCCACTGTTATTGAAATGTCCTGTCTCCTTCACTGCACAATTAGGCTTGACCAGCGGTAACAATTAGCCCTTAGACTTCATGACCTATATTCCCAGTGGGTGGAAGTCAGCATCATTCTGTGACTTTAATGGAGGTGCATCAGTTTATACCTGCTAAGAACTGGGCCCCGTTAGCTTCTGGTATTTTTTTGCTTGACACCAACAAGGCAAACTGATTTTTTTTTTCCCAGAGTTGTCTTGGGAGGCAGAGGAGGGAAACATCTGAATTGACTGAATAAATTCAGTAAATAAACAAGTCAGCATTAAAATTGTTTTAGCCAGAGTGCAAGTGCCAAGAAAGTCAGTGGTGCTAGTCAGCATAGCAAAAAATAGACCAGACCTGAATTAAAAAGTCTCAGATATTTATTATCTTCCTTTTATTGACTTGAGTTCTCTCAGCTTAAAAGGCTACAGTGAGCATGGAATATGAAAATCAATGCATCTCATGCTGTTTATTGCAAATAAATTTGATTTTGAGTTAATTGTAGCAGTCATTTTTTCATAATTTATGAGCTGCTCTGCTGGAGAATATAACTCAAGCTGCACATTGATGTGTTTGACATTGGAGAGTGTGTTTGGTGGCAGAGAGAGGTTGAACTTGCCACAGTGGATCAGTGGGGCTCACATCAGTACCATGGAGGCCAAAGCAAAAGATTAAACGGGCTGGTGCTGGCCTAATAATTATTCTGGGATCCAAACGAAAACACAAGCTAGTGGGGTGGACAAGCGCTACGTCTCTGCAGGTACCCCTGTTGTATCACTTTCTGGATAAGGAAGGGGAGTGAAGGTTTCTCCCACAGTAGAGCAGCGGCACTGGATTGATTTGTCACGCGCTTGCTCTGAAATCTCCAGGCTGGACGTTACAGTTTACTAGAGCATACCCCGAGTATCCCTCCCTGTCAGCCCTGTCAGAAAGCTTCATCTATTTTAGTTAATTAAAAAGGTGTGAGGTTCATGAACAGCTGATGCACTCAGAGCGTTGCAGACCAGCGCTCGTAAACCAGGTGAACCATGCTCATTTTCTTCCCACTTCGGGGAGTTTCTTCTCTGAATTTTATTTAGGACTGGCATTAAGTCCCTTGTTTTCTCACCCTCTTTCAGTTCAAAGCTCCTTTCCCTCTCCCTTTTTCACAGACAATGGTAGAGCTAACAGACTTCGGCAGATATTTCTGTCTCGGAAAGAAAAAAGAAAATGCCAGTCGCGTGTTTAGCATTGCTATAGGCAGGCTCGCCCTCTGGAAGGAGCCTTGCGGTGAGCCAGCTGTTCTGCATCTGTAAACCACAAAACCCAGAATATGGCTAGGAATAGTAAAACCCTAACGTTTGTAGTTTGGGACACTTTCCTAGAAATAGGCAGTTTAATGTCAATGCATGGAAGAGTGGGGAGAATCGCAAGCTTTAGCTGGGCTTTGAGGTAGGGAATAAAACATGGTGCTGGACCCAGACTTGAAGTCCAGTGCTGAACTTTGTGTCTAATGGGCAGAATCAGGCATGCCTGGTCATAGTGGGTGGCCCACATCTTTCCTAAGCTCGTGCATTCAGATTAGGATCGCCAGCTCGGGATGAATGTATTCTGGGAAGCTTCATCACACGCTGTCATGTCATTAATGCCTGTTCTACTATACTCTAAAACTCTACATCAGAAAGGCAAATGCACATGACTATTACATTTTAAAAACCCACTGGACTACTGTATACATCGGATTCAACATTTAATATTTATTTTAATGAATGCCCTATCACTTATCTCCCAGGGGACTCTCCTGGAGCTTTCTATCTAATTCCTGGAGACTCCAGGGCAATCCTGGGGGGTTGGCGACCCTCATTCAGACTCACCTCAGAGAAAGAGGTTCAAGCTGTGACCTAGTCTGAAACCGGATCCTGAGTTTAGATATAAGGGATTTGGTCGTGGCCCATGGTCTTTGAAAAAACAACTGAAACCATTTCTTCCCCACTGATTCTTTAAGTGATTTATTCTGGCACTTTTGCACAGTGCTTTTCTAGCTTATTGTCCAAACAAACTGTGCCGTCCAGTGAGAGTTTGAAGGAAAGAAGGATTTTGCTAAATAACAGTTCAAAAGTCAGCTCTCCGACTCTACGAATCATTGGGTCCGCCATTGTTACCCCACTGCTTCAGGGGAGAAACAGGGCTGCCCTGCAACCGTGCATAGCAACAGGAAGAGAGGAACAGCGTATCCACGGGAAACCGCAGGAGAGGTTCGTTAGGCAGAGCATAATGACCCAAACTGAAATCTGGCCAAGACACGGGAATTACAGCCCCCCGGTGCTACAGCAAGTTCCCTGACTCCAGCCGATTGTGGTATACTAGGGGCGCACCGTGCGAGATAAATGCACAGTGCTGATAAAGCCATTCACCGGATGCCACCATCTTTTAAGGAGACTGGCTGCTGAAAACAGAGGGTGTAAACGAATAAATACACGTGCAGAAGCGGCTCTGAATGGCACTGCTAATGGCTCTCCCAAACACTCTCACACACCTTCCTGAATAGAGCATGCTAAATATTTGAAGCCTCATCCACACTGACTTGGGCTGCTTATGAAGCTCTGCAGGTAACTAGAAACAAACTCAAAAGTCATTTTTCAGGTTACAGTTTTAGCCAGCTAAGCAACTGCATCTGTTTGCAGCCGAATAACCTCTGCTGTGGTCATGACATAGTGTATAAGTTAAGCTGTCCAGTGAGTGATTTGCACTTGGATGCAAGACGTCCCAAGAAAACCTTGGCCCTGCAAGAAGCGGTTTCGGTGATCCCCGCATCTGCCCTGAGAGCCAAGGAATCGGCTGCTAAATCAGCACTCCAGGAAGATTCTGCCTTAAATGGATCATCCCCTTTCAGTCAAGATTCACAATGCAATCCTGACCCCTGCTCTTCATTTCCCACGTTGTGTTACTTTTCCTAAGAGCCAGTGGATTGTTTGCTTATTTCTGGTGGGGTAACAGTGTCTGGTAATTAGAGGAAGAGACCAAGAGGCAGAAATTCTGCCACTGTTTGTGCTGGACAAATCAGCTAACCTCTCTGGTAGTTTCCTTAACTACAAAATGAAATGCTAATGCTCAGTTTAGCTCATGAATGTTAAGTATCTTCATAGGTGTAAAGTCTATTCTAAAGGAGTAGAAATTGAACTTGATACTAATTTTCCTATGTGCTGCTAACAATAGCAATTACTTCCATTTTACGGATGGGAAAATTGAGGTTCAGAGACGTCAAGTGTCTTGCCTGGTATCACACAGGAAGCTGCCTACAAATACAGGCTTCCAGTTCTGTGCTTCAGCTGTGTTACCATTGTGCATCGTGTTTCTTGGGGAAGGTGGAATAGTAAATGATAAACCATCCACTGAGGCTATTTATGAATAAACAAGGAAGGAGTCAAAGTAGCCAAGGACAAAAGAGCTCAGTCAATTACTTGAAATGTTAGTACCATGATAGCCTACACAGAGAAAAGTACAAGAACAGAAACTGTGTTTGCTATCATAAGGATTTGTGGCACAATATAAAAAAAAGACAGCAGAGACGCGTGTTTTACTCGCCGGTTCCAAGAACTCGGTGTTCTTTAATGCATAATGCACAGAGTAATACAGTGGAGCCTATATCAAGTATCTAATCCAATGAAGTAACTCAAATGATGACCAGGGATCCTGGTTTTCTCTGATGAAAAAAAAAAACAAGAATTTTGGGGTTAAAAAAAGTAACCCAAATCCACATTTTTCCATGATCAAAATGAAACACCACTCTGTGTGTGTGT